CAACACGGTGACGGCTGCTGAAAATGGACACGAAGATGAAGAAAGTACCAGTCAGCAGTAGAACCGTAACCGTTCTTAACTGAAGTGGCCGATAGCGCAGTACACTTATAGCACGTCAGGAAAAGGTCCACGAGAACGATACCGCCAGTGGGAGCTTATAGTCGGAAATTGGAACATATCTCCACTCGAACAAGAGTTAGTTGATGGGGCCATAAAGTACCAACTTGACATTGTTGGACTCTCGTCAACAAAGCACCAAGGCTTTATAATCCTGAACCTCTGCGGATGGAAGCAATTCTGCTCAGGTATCAGTATCACAATGCGCTCTCAGGCCGGTGTTGGTGTTCTAGAACCCAACCTAGCAGATAGAATCATTGATTGGAAGCCTGTCAGCGGAAGAGTAGTAATCCTGCAACTTAAGTTACTACACGCGAAAGCTTTCACCTTGCTGTACGTCTTTGCGCCAGACGACGGAATCCATCATTCTAATGGTAAGATTTTAATGTACATGTCGGAGTAGACATTAAAAAGTGGAAAGGCATGTTAGGACCGAATGGCTACAGCGACCTCAGCAATAACGACATGAAGCTGTTTCGGTTTTGTGCATACAACGGACTGTCCATTATGAACACCTTTTTTAAGCATTAAAGCGTGCATATCAGCATACTAGGTGTAAGGAAGCCTGTGATCAGAATTAGGTGATCGATCAGATTGGTGATCGTATCGTCTGATTTACGACGCGCTGTAATGGATGTTCGCATTAAGAGAGGCGCTGAGCTGTCAGCCGATCACCACCTTGTTGTAGGCACCCTCCGGTGTAAATGGGTGGAATACAATGTGAACAATGACTGCATAAGCAACTATAGAATCAAATGGGAAACTTTTTCTGGAATACGAGGGTAAAACTTGCAAACAACGTCGCAAGACGATTTGAACTATTCTCATTGATGACGGCTGAAACCGAGTGGAAGCTCCTTAAGAGCGGCTTCCTTGGTGCTGCCACCGAATACTGCAGTTTGGAACGGGTTGGTCTGCCGCCTGAGAGTCAGAAATGAACTTCATGATGGACACTGGAAGTTCGTTGACTGTCTGCTCGAAGAAAGCTGAAATAAAAAAGTGGCATCGATGCAAGCAGCCTTCAACTTAAATGCGGTAGGAAGGAGCGCGAGGTGACACCGAAGCCAGTGGGCAAAATGAAAACTGCTTCCTGCGGAAAGATAGGTGAAGTGCTGGAGTCGAATTTCCAGAAGGTAAATTCACCTTCGTTTAGAAGGTCTACTTCTGATGTGATTACCACAATCACCCATTTTAATGCAAAAACGTAGACGATAATTGTGAAATAGTTCGTTCAGCCATCTTAGACCTGAGCTCTGCGTACAGTACGGTGGCCCTCACGACTTGATCTAACTTCTAGCGTTGCGTTGACGGGCGTGAACCTCAGGATTATTCGCCTTCTGTGCGTAAATTTTAATCGTTTGTAACCGCATTGGGCATAGAGACTCGAGTATCCAACGCCATAAGTTTGGGGTTGCTCAAGGACCCATCGTCAGTACTGTTCGCATTGTTTACCAGCAGTGCAGAATTAACAAGGGTATGATGTGTGAAATATGCAGATGATATGGCAATCCTCTGA